GTGGATATGTGCTCGTTTTCCGTCACATTCAAACAGAGATGCAATGCTTTGGATTTTTATCCTTATTTCTTGATGAGCTAGTACTGGGTCATGAACATCATGAAAGAAAACGTATGTGTTTGATTCTCATGTTTCCCCATACTTTTAGTACGGAAAGCAAATTACTTGGAATGCTTGTTACATTTGGAAAAAAACTTGCGATATTTATACTGTAACAGACACTAGAGGAAATCAGCTAGTTAACGACTTATTCAAGATACGGTTTCCATTTTGATTTCGGTCTAGAAGCTCTAATTGACCACCTTAGTAATATAGTTTAGTAAGGAAAAAGCATTCTGGATAATGTAAGTTGATTGGGTCTATACCACAAGCAAACTTGACAATGACACCAAAGTAGTACTGGGGTGTTTTCGGGTGTCCAACCTGTTGGCTCAATGGTTTGCCATTTTTGTCAGCTGTCTCCTGGAGGGAAATATTTACAGATATATTTGAAAAAGTCATTGACTGTTTCACCTGTGTTAGTACCCTCTTTCTCACTCCTTCGTTTTTCTTGAGGCGGGTTAAATCAGCACATGACTGCACGATATTTAGCTTCATTTTCACCTACCTGTCTGAGTACATAAGTATTGTGACTGCATAACTCCATTAAACGCTCAGTGTCGCTATTCTCTGTCATATCACCGTGGTACTTGAGATGCTATGGAGCATTACACTCTTATCCTCATGAAAATTTGTTGGTATGAACTGAAAAATGTTAAAACAAATATGCTGAGGAAGGCGTGTCATGTAATGATACGACATAATGAGAATGAAAGATTACGATAGCGAAAGGAGGTAGTACTGAGTAAAAACGGAACAACTAGCGCTTGCTGTTATTCCTAGCTAGGCTCTTCTTGATCTTGAGAATTAATGAATGAGTATCCAGTGATCACAGCGATGTAGGTGCATTCATTACTTATGACTTTTAACGTAGTAGATATCTTACTCACCTTCATGTATTTGTTCTCTTTCCTCTCACATCCTTCTTACTTATTTTAATATCTTATTATTTTTGCTGATTTTGTGTAATATGCTGTTAATACTGGCAACTAAAACCCTTGCAGTCTTTCTGTTTCTGCATGTCTGTCACCTTGAATACAAGTCATGGAATCTGTCACACTGCACACAAAAAGTGTAAGGAGTTCATTTGAGTGAGAGTCCGAATTAAATTACATCTATGCCTTGTTTTATAACAATTTGCATGAAAGAGTGGCAGGTACGAAGACAAATACTTCACGGAGTATCTGATAACTGGAAGGAATTGACCCTTCCTCACAGGCACCAATTGTCAGTGTCACCACTAGGCCGATTAGGCGACCACCTGACTGACCGTGTTACTTACTGAGTGACAGAGTGCACCTGTCTCTTCAGATCTCAGATGTCCCTCACTGGCAAGTGCCTACAAGTATAAAGCTACGGGTGCGGAAATTCTCGGTAACAGTTTTGGACAATAAATGAGGCTCATTACGATCGGGCCACTTGGCCCAGTGACTACATTTTGCAGACTTAATCGACAAAACTCATTTGAACGGGGTGATATTATTTGCGATCCAGTGGCTAGGTAGTGAAATGTAGCATGTTTTATTCGAGGGAATGCAAAGACTTCTATAGCTCCCTAGAAGTTGGTTTATTTATCTATCAGTTAGATAGAAGAGGTTTCAAATCGCTTCAGTAATGAGAGCTGATGTATATAATCACATTTTAGAAAGGGGACTCTTGTCACAGCACAGAAGACATTGTAATTTTAAGCCGTAATCATTCATTTGCTTCACTGGGAACGACAGTACCTTTCTAAGCTCTTAGTGTTGAACATTCTGTCAGTGATTGCCAGACTGGTGATAAAAGTGAACAGGTACAGAAGGAACGTGACAATGTAAATTTGCGACCGAGATATCGTGTGTAATTATATTTCCCAACTTACTGAATTGATTAAGTTTTAGTGACCGAGGTGATTTGATTTGAGACAATGGACAGGAAGTCCTTTACCTAGATTGCAGACTTGTTGGCTCTAGTCAGCTATGTGTATCTTCAGAAACTCGAACCTGTGTCAGCTAGTGCTGTTATCAGTTTTCATACCACTGTTCTTTTGGTCACGACTGACATGTAGAAGTGATTAACACGTGGTTAACCATTGGAGGATTGCCAGTTTTATGTCTTATATGCGTCAGTGCTGACTGGATTCTATCTACTATTTTATTGTTCCCTCAAGTTAGACTGTCCCTATGGACTTCCAGATATCATGTACGTCCATATATATATATGTATATATATATATATATATATATATATATATATATATATATATATATATATATATATATATATCCATAGTCATACACTTGAAAAAGGTCTTTTTCCCCATCTGACTGTATGCTACAGTCAACATTTCGTCCTCGTGTTATACGATCGAAAACGTTTCTAGGCAAGCAAATTTCCTCGAAGTTTACACTGACTGAAGTCTACCGTCTCACTTCATTGGTGAGTTATTGAGACTTTAAACTTGGTAATTTGCATTTTCATACCATTTTTCTAAATTACCAGTTCTCATACTAGCGTTGGAAACCGGGAATTCAGAGACGATAGATATTTTCAACAGAATCTATTCTTTCTTTGCACATCTATGAAAGAATATGCTGTTTGAATGATAAACTTGTGTGAGATTATGTAGGCAGTAGAGAATAACATTATGAGAATACTGGCCATATTCTAAGGTGCAAACGTATAGTAAGAATGAAAGAGGAATCCCGAAGGAATTTTCACAGCTCGATATCAGTTAGGTAACTACCGAAAGTCAGGTGTGGCCAAACAATTCCTTGGACCTAGTTTGGGACTATTATCAGGTCTTACGGTAATCAATTTACAACTCGGTTACCGGAAGTCTTCTTGACCTAAATTCAATCTAACAAGAGTGCGTAGGGGCACATTGTTCAGATGTTACTTAACGGGATGAGTCAGCTATTTAGTGCCATTTGGTTCTCAGTGATTTGCTGACTGGTATCGACAATGGCGAAAACTCTTTTGAAATCAATTAACTTCCAAAACCCTTGAAACTGAGAAGCTTTGTATTCTGCGAGATGTATACAAGAGAAGAGTATGGTGAAGTACTAGGAGGAACCAGTAAGTGTTGGATATCATATGCATAGAATGCAGAAAGACATGCAAATCAGCTTAGAACCTTGTAAAAAAGGGCCTCACTTATGGTTGGAGAATTTGGCCACAACAAGGCAGGAAGAAGTGAAGAAAACGATCGAAATATCAAAACAAAGAAGTAGGATATTGGATTATCAAGGTTAAACTACTGAAGTTTGAAAAATCTCCACAATTTTGTCGTGATAAAGAGTGAATACACTTGCGTCAGTATAATTTAGGTGTTAGATGTGAGGATTTATCAACATGAAGCTTTAGGCCTAGGTTTCGTGCTTGTTGAAGCTCATGAACAAGGCGTGTCCGGAGTTTTAAAGAAACTCAAAATGCCAAAGTAGGGTGTACTGTACTGTTGCTCCACTTATCTAAGTGGTCACACTGTAAACTTGTTCGATAGACTTTGATGAATGCTGAGGACTGGTGAACTGATAGCCACCTCCGCTACCGTCCGATGTAATTTGTTTTCACGCATACTATCCAAAAGTCTCTAATTATTGACTCCTAGTGCTCACGTTGTCTTATGGTAGCAAGTTAACTTATAGGTAGATGTAGAAAAGTCAAACAAAAAAAGTTTTATTCCCCTGTAATCGAGAACAGTTAATGTATTATGAAAGATATGCTTACGTTTGCCTTTAGTTGATGTTCCACTTGATCTTAAAAGTATGTTGGTTCCCCCATTGACTCTTCATTTTGCTTTTTATGTACATTCCTTTTAAAAACAAAAAGAATGAATAGTTTTCCATTTTTAAAAATCTTATGCTGTCGAAAAATGACTCACATAGGTAGTTTCAAACAAATTGCACTCTCTTGTAGAAGTGTTTTTTTTTCCAGTAGCACGGGTTGTTGATAAGGTTTTGTTCTTATGATTTAGTTGAAGCAATCTTCTGTCTTTTGAAACACTTGTAAGATGTAATGTTCAGCTGGTTGGTACACTTCTATGTCGTAGGCTATAAGCCTGTGATGGCCTGTTGCACCACGCACTTATCAGGACTGAAACAGATGAGGTGATATGCACCTGCAAGTTGCTAAGCCAATGAACCACACCTGATTATCGCCTGAAAGTTGTTTCCTTTCATCTATCCTAACGTGCGACAAGCATCCAATCATTAGAAATGTGTTCGTAAATTCCTAATGATCGATCAAAGAGTGGGGTAGCGTTTATGATTCTATACCTGATTTGTATTAGCAGTTTAGGTAACTGAAAGTAGCCATTGGTCAGTGAGTGATAAACACTTAGTTGTAAATTAATATGAGTGGAATTTTGGCAATGTGACAGAGTGTAGTTTTATGGTACTTTGCTTATGAAGTGTATCCCACAGTGATCAGAATCCTGGAGATAATAAGAATCAATCCTTGGGCATTTGGATACACTCTTTGTTTTCATGTTTTCATCCACTCTTATCTACCTATCCTCCCTCTTCTTACGCTTTTACCAACTTTAATTTCATTCTTTTTTTCCATGCACTTCTTGTTCATGTTGTGTTATGAAGCGTGGCAACTTGAATCGATGCA